GGTTTTTTTTTTTTTTTTTTTTTTTAAGAAATCCCATACTGAAAAGGACGTTTGTCCTCTCTCCTATTTAAATTGCTTTCTATGGGTTAGGGAGACCAGGCCATCGATTTTCTTCTAGCTAGCAGAGCGAACCCTGTGAAGATTTTGGCTAATTAACTTTTGGAGAGGCGCTGCTTGAATTTGTCAAGGAGGTTGAAGTCTCTTCTCTCCTCCCCGATCTTGAAAAAGGTTTTAAACTTTTGTGTTCAAATCTCTGCCAACGCCTGGGCTGTTTCAGGTGACTTCCCTGGAGACAGTGGCAGCGGAGGTGTCGGATGTCACAGTTTTGCAGCTTCCATCTTTAATACAGTGGCTTCAGTTCCCAGAAAGTCTTTTCTGTTTATATAAGAGAGGTATCATTCATACAAGGATTACATTTAAAAATACACATTTCCCCCCTGCATGCCTGTTACTAATAACATTGCATGTTATGAAAGTGGAAAGTATTTAAGATGAAATTAATTTTCACCCAGCGTGTCATTTTGTTTGACATTCTCGTTCCATTCGGCGTGGGGCACGGACGCGGCCAACCTCACTTTTTATTTTCAGCAAGCTCACTTTCTTGGTCCTCTCCTTTGGATTGAAACTGTTGGAAGTGAGTTAACGAGCATATCAGGAAAAGTCTGATTTGAGATCCTCCTGTAGATTTCCTTCGTGTTGGTTTCCAGAGTTTGTTTTGAAAATGGAAACCTTCTCTCCCGTCGTCGATGACTTTTAGTGTACAATTTCCTTTTCTTTCTTTCTTTTTTTTTTATGGATTCTCTTTCAACAGAATTTCTGGAGTTGGAATAGTTAACATCTTTCTTGGCAGTCTGTCAAAAGATTGTGGGAAACCAGCTAATTCTTTCTCACATCAGACATCTCTGTGTCATGTGTTCTTGTCGGTTCTTATCAACGTGGCATGGCTGGTCGCTGTTCGGTGGAGGGACGCTGGAGCACCCAGGGCACCCTGGACAGGCTGTGTCATCTCGCCTGGGCTGAGCTGCCCGGGAAGTTCTATTACACTGAGCTACATCGCTTCAGCAGAAGGAGGCGTTGAAGCTGGTGGGACACAGATGTGAACACTGTAGGAAATGGTTCTGTATTTTTGATCAATCTTATGATCCTTGTTACCAACTTTGATTACATCAGCGTATGTGCTGTTCTGTTTTATAGCATTTCAAGGGGCTCTCATCCCCCCTCCCCAATTCATTTCCAGCTGTGTGACTATTATCATTTGATTACAGCTTGGTTTTGCAACTACACGGACACTTTCTGAGCTCCTATGTCTCTACCTTCCTTGTGAAAATGAAGAAGTTCAGAAGTGAAAAAGGAGCAAAGGGCTTTTTTGTTTTTAAAGAGGCACGTCAACAAGTAATTTCCAAAAGATGCCTCCAAAGCTCCAATGACTGTATCCTCCCAGAATAAGAAATTTCCATTAAACTAGACTGTGGCCCACTGACTTTTTTGAAGAGCATAGAAAAATATATTTAAAATTGTGCTTACTTCATTCTTCTAAATATTTTGGTTAAGAAATATATTATTTTTAACTTAGAGACTTTCCCTCCCTGATTTTGGCTTCTGCAAATCTACATAGAACAAAAACAAAGGGACATTTATATTGTCGCTTGGAAATGAACTACTTGGATCTCCCTTTTGGCCCTGTGATCCCTGCAGCTCCTGCCCTTCCTCCTTCCTCCTCTCCCTCCCCACTAAGAAGCTCAAGTTCATCTGGTAGAGGTAATGTTATTACATTTGTATTTCCTTGAGCCATTTATTAGCATCCAAGGTGCCTCTCTTTTATTTGTTAGGTATTTGATCTCATTGATTATTTTTACGCTTTACATTTGATCAGTTTTACCAATGTTATATTTTTGGTCTTTGAAAAGGATACTGTCTGAAAGTAGTAGCATCACCACATATCCAAGGAGACCAGAGATTCAGGAACATAAAATTTAGGATGCTCAATCAGATCACTGCTCCAGCAAACCAGGAAGGTCTTTCTATTTGTGTTTTAAACCTCGGGAATTGAATTATTTTGAGTTCAAAATTCAAGTAGTAGTCTTACTTTAAATGCTTCTTTTATTGTCCATCAGAAAGTCATTTTTCTTTAAGTGTGTGGTTTTGAAGATCGGTACATGCCCCTCTTTACCTCCTTTTCCCTATAATAGCACTTTCAGGGGATATTTCCTCTATCCGTTTAGTCTTTGTTTATATGGAGTGTTTATCTTCTATTGTCATGGAAATCTGTGCATGTATGCTGGTGATTGGGGTTCATTCTAGAGAGCCTTTGCTGGCAATCATGGAGAACAAAGTGTGGCTAATGGGGGAGGTTGATGAGGGGGCTCTAGAAGCCTGATCTAGAAGTAGATCCCATGCAGAAGGTTGTTCCAGAACTACCTCTATTCTAGATTGGGACCCCATGCTTCCTAGAACAGAGACTTGTCACTTTTCCTGGTGGCTTATTCTTGGGGCCCTAGGCTCTTTGTTAAAGGGGTTTCTAAGTTCTCTGGTGGATTTGGTATAGGAAGTAGAACCTGGTCCACCCTGACATTGAGTTGGATTCTACCCCTTGGCAAGGCTCTTGGTACTCATTGCCTTGGTCTTCATAGCTGCAAAATCTTCCCAGGGAGGTGGGTGGGTCACATCAGTTTCCCTTTCAGGGTGTGCTCAGTTTTCCCTGGCCTCATTCTTCTCCTCTCTGTCTCCCGGCAGGCTTGGGGACCAATTCTACAAGGAAGCCATTGAACACTGTCGGAGTTATAACTCCCGGCTGTGTGCAGAGCGCAGCGTGCGTCTCCCTTTCCTGGACTCGCAGACCGGGGTGGCCCAGAACAACTGCTACATCTGGATGGAGAAGAGGCACCGAGGCCCAGGTGAGCCATGCCACCTCTGGGATGTGCGCATGTCCAGGCTGTCTCTTTGGATGCAGGAGGACCAGGGCTTGTCTGGGAATCCCTGCAGGGTTGCTGGTGGTAGGGCAAGCTGTACAGGGGCCTGGGATACTTTTAAGAAACTCAACTACTTTTATAGCTCTTGGCAGGTATTCCAAGGATGGTGTGGGGCATTGAAGCCACATTGACTGGGGAGGGGCAGAGTGAAAGAACTCAAGATGTTTAGCCCAGAAAAGGGAAGACTGAGGATAGCTATCTTCATCTTTTCCCCTTGTGTGTTGGTGTAGCTTAGCGCTTATAAGCTGGAAATCCACAGTCAGATCTGAGTTGGAGTCTTAGCCTTGTCACTAGATCTTTCTCCTTCGGGTTTTTCGTCTGTAAAATGGGGATAATAATGGTGTTTACCTCAGGATTTTGTCAGGATTAAATGAAAATATTCATAAAAATCTCATAGCATGAATTTAGCACATAGTAAGTATGTGCTCCAAAAATGCTGGCTATTACTATTGCTATTATTGTTATTACTACGACTAGTCTTCTAGGCTCCAGAGAACAGAATAAAGACCAATGGGTGGAGATTAGTGAGGCAACAATAGGAATGCAGTTTTCTGGCTCTATATGGGTATGTTTAAAAAACTTTTTATTATGAAATTATTATTATGAAATTTCAAACCCATACAAAAGTGGAAAGAATAGTCAAATGAATCTCCATGTATTGATCACCCAGCCTCGACCATGATCAGCTCATAGCCAATCTGTTTTATTTATACTCACCTCCCACTTTCCTCCTTGACTACAGGTTATTTTGAAGCAAATCCAAGATGCGTATTATTTCATCTGTAAATGTTTCAGTAGGTGTCTCTAAGTGATAATGACTTAAACAAACCAACCAACCCACAATAGCTGTCAAAGCCCAAAGTTAACAGTAAGACTTTAACATCATCCCATATTTGTTCAACGTTAATTTCAGCCTGTAGTTTAAATCAGGACCTAAATAGGATCCCTACATTGCAATTGTTGGCATGTCTCTAGTATCTCTCTCTCTCCCTCTTTCTCTCTCTCCCCCTTGCATGTTATTTGTGTGGGTTGTTTACACTGTAAGGTTTCCCAGGGTCTGGATTCTGACTGCATCCCCATGGTCATATTCCTGTGAATTGGTAGTTAGGTCTAGAGACTTGTGAAGATTCAGGTTCAATTTTGGGGGCAAGAACAATTCCTAAGTGGTGGTGGGTACTTCCATCAGGAGGCTCACGTGGTCTTGTTATCTCTCTTTTACTGATGTTAGCAGCCCTTGATGATAATTGCCTAGATCCGTTATTCCATTAAGGGCCACAAATAGGTGACATTCGATTTGAGGCTGTCGTTATGTCTCCATTTATTAGCTCTACAACGTCTATAGAGAGAAACATCTCATTAAAATTTTGGTCGTTGTGAGGTACAGATCACCTATGAAAGGCAGGATAAATGATTTTCTCCCTTTTTTCACCAGTTTTCAAAATAATGAGTTGGTTCCCTAGTATTCTCCAAAGGAATCAATGAAGTTATTTTTTTTAAGTACCATCGTGAGTTCTCAGATTTAAACATATTGGATACATTTTAATCCACCACAGCTGTTGTGTTTATTGATGCTTGACATGTCCCATCTTTGGCCAGTAGGGGTTTCGGCCAGTGCCAGGGCTTTTGAAACAACTCCAGTAGTTTTTGACAGCTTCCTTGCTATCTTACTATCAGGACAAATGTTTCCGGCCCATCATGTACACTTCCTGCCCCAGATCTGGAATCGGCTGTTTCTTTAAGACACCTTGTTTTATTTTTGTGGGAAGTGTCGTTTAGAGACCACTATCTCGTGGCGCTCATTGCTTCTGGGTTGGTCATTGTTTCTAGGACGTTTCAGGGAGCAGAGCTAAGAAATATGATTCCTTTTTTTTTTTCTTTTTAAGAAAAAATACATTATGAAATTAGACTGATATTTCCCATTCAGTTCAGTTTTACATAGTTTTTACTTAATCTTAATTCTTTTTTTTTCTTTTTTAAACGTCCATCAGTAGAGCACTTTTTTTGGGTACGCTTTTTGGTGAGGAAGATTCGCCCTGAGCTAGCATCTGTTGCCAATCTTCCTCTTTCTTTTTTTTCCTTCCCGAAGCCCCAGTATATAGTTGTATATCCTAGGTGTAAGTCATTCCATTTCTTCTATGTGGGATGCCACCACAGCATGTCTTGATGAGCAGTGTGTGTGTCCGTGCCCAGAATCCAAACCTGTGAACCCCAGGCTGCCGAAGTGGAGTGTGGGAACTTAACCGCTCGGCCACGGGGCCAGCCCCCAACAATCTTAATTTGTATCTCTTTTCTCCCAAACCAAAAAAATCCTGGCTCTTAATGACGCTAAAATGTTTACTTATTTACTATATCCCACAATACCTACACAACAGTTCAGAATAAAATGAGACTACCAACAATAAGATGGCTGAAAATGGCTTAAGACTTTTTTCTTTTTTTGCAATTCTTTTTGTCCTTAGAGTATTTCCTATTAAGGATGTAGCATCAAATCACTGTCTGTTATGGTCACTTGAAATAGTTCCTCTGTTTGGTTGTGCTGCTAACTCAGTTAACATACTTGGATTTATTTGTTTCATTTCGCTTTCACTTATTAGGTATTGCTTTTTCTTTCCTTTTTGAATTTCATATAATTTCTTTGTCTCTTTTAGTTAACTTTTAATTTTGAAATAATTACAGATCTACAGGAAATTGCAAACATTACAGAGAGATTCTCTATACCTTTCACCCAATTTCCCCCAATGGATACATCTGATGTGACTATAATACAATATCAAAACCAGAAAATTGACATTGGTAAAATGTGTGTGCGTAGTTCTGTCCCATTTTATCACGTGTAGATTTGTGGAACCACCACTGAATCAAGATACCACAAAGATCTTCCTCGCACTACACATTTATAATTGCATGTACTTCTCCCTTTCATCGTTTAAATCCTTTTTCCCTCCCCATTTATAACATAATGTCTTAAACACTTCCTCTACATTGAAAACCACATCAGACACTATTATAATTTCGCTTTCAACCATCAAACATAATTTAAAAAACTTGAGAATTCTGTATTGTATTTCCTTACTTTCTCGTTGTTCTTTCTTCCCTCCTGATGTTCCGAGGTTCCTTCTTTTATAATTCCTTTCTGATTGAGCACTTTCTTTAGCCATTCTTTTAAAGTAGGTCTACTGGTCACGTCTTCTCTTACTGTCCCTTCATCTGAGAATGTCTTGATTTTTCCCTCATTCCTGAAGGATATTTTTGCTGGATATAAAATTCTGGGTTGACAGTCCTTTTATTTTAGCACTTGAAAAATGTTTTGCCACTTCCTTTTGGCCTCCATGGTTTGTGATGAGAAATATACTGTCATTTAAATTGTTTCCATTTATAAGTGAGGTGTCATTTCTCTCTCACTGCTTTCAAGATTTTTTCTTTGTCTTCAGTTTTCAAAATATTGATTTTGATATGTCTTGATGTGGATTTCTTTGAGTTTATTCTTTTTGGAATTCACTCATCTTGAATCTGTAGGTTTATGTCTTTTGCCAAATTTGGGAAAATTTCAGCTATTTTTTGGAATACATTTTGAACCCCTGCTCTCTTTCCCCTCTCCTTCTGGGATTCTGCTGACACAAATATTAGATCTTTTCTTATAGTCCCACAGTTCCCCCAGGCTCTGTTCATTTTTTTTTTTTTCCTTTTTCTCCCCAAAGCCCCCCGGTACATAGTTGTGTATTCTTCGTTGTGGGTTCTTCTAGTTGTGGCATGTGGGACGCCGCCCCAGCGTGGTCTGATGAGCAGTGCCATGTCCACACCCAGGATTCGAACCGACGAAACACTGGGCCACCTGCAGCGGAGCGCGCGAACTTAACCACTCGGCCACGGGGCCAGCACCTCTGTTCATTTTTTTTACAGTCTCTTTTCTCTCTGTTGCACAGATTGGGTGATTTCTATTATTCTGTCTTCAAGTTCACTACTTCTTTCTTCTGTACTCTGCATTCTGCTGTTGAGCCCATCCATTGAGGTTTTGCGCGAGTGTGTGTGTGCGTATGTGCACTTCAGTTCAAAAATGTCTATGTGGTTCTTCTTTATAGCTTATGTTTCGTTACTGAGACTTTATATTTATTTGTTTGTTTCAAGTGTTCATAGTTGTTTGTTGAAAGATTTTTATGATGGCTACTTTAAAATCCTTGTCAGATAATTGTAACATTTGTGTCATTTCTGTGTTAGTATCCATTGTCTTTTCTCATTCAAGTTGAGATTTTCCTTGTTCTTTGTATGAATGACTTTGATTGAATCCTGGATATTTTGGTCATAATGTTATGAGACTCTACATGTTATTTAAACCTTCTGTTTTCACAGACCTCCTTTGATACTGTGGGGAGGAGGGGTGTGCCCCTCGTTACTGTCAGATGGGTGTGGAGGTCCAGGTTCCCCACTCAGCCTCTGTTGACACCCTGGCAGGGGGGAGCACCTCTTTATTTCTGGGTTGGGGTGGGAGGTCAGCCGCCGCCTAGGTCTTCACCAATACCACCCTAGCTGGGAGAAGGAAGGATGCCTCATCATTAGTCCCCAGGTGGCCTCCACTGACACCATGGGATGTCAGCTTCTCACGCAGCCTTCTCTGATGCCAATCCAGCAAGAACATTGAGAGTGCGCTGCTAGGCTGCCCTTTTCCTGGTCTTTGGCTGGAGATTGCAGGATTTTCTTGGAGGTTTTTTTTAGCTTACATTTGTTGGTGTTTCTGGGTTATCAGCTTCCCCAGAACCCAGTTTGGGATATATAAGGCAAAAAATGAATACCCAGGGAATTACCACCTTGTTGTACCTTGGGTTCAAAAGTCCCTAGCTGGTCTGCCTTGTTCTCTTTACCTTTCGGTATCTTATTTTTGTTGTGCAAGCAATGTCTCGGAGTTTTAGTTGTACTTAGAGGGAGGAATA